ATACATTATGTATATATATATATATACACACATGCATATGTGTGTATATATACCTGTACTCATACATACATACATACATACATACATACATACATACATACATACATACATTCATACATACATCCATACAATATGTATATATATATATACATACAGATGCATACAGGCATGAGTACATGCATGTAAGAATGCATACATGCATACATAAACTGTAGTATTGTCCCAAGTAAAGGGGCCTCAAAACAGATCTTGATTCCCAAGCCAGGAGCGGAGCAGCATTTTTGGAGGACCGCGCCCCTATACATCCCCGATATAAGATGAACATTAGAACGGGGTTTTGGGAGTATGTTATAGTATGAATACAATAGGAAGTCCTAAGGAATAGTATTGCCATGTATCCCCCTCAAACCCTGAATCCTAAACCCTATAGTACTGGCTTCCCTGGTTCTGTTTCGATCCCACCTCGCCGCCGAAGGAGAGAGGCGCGTTTTTGGAGGCGGCTCATGGCAGAAATCTATCAGTAGGGGCCCAGACTTTAAGGTTCAAGAGAGCCTTGATAACTTAAGGCTTTTTATGGGATATAGCAAGAGAAAACTACAATCAGGAAAGCTGAGGAGCACTATTGGTACTTCTTGCCTTGAGGGGCCCTTGCACACGTTCGGACCGCTATCCTGCGTGTTGCGCTTTGGTCCAGGGTTTTCGGGTCCCAGGGTTTGTTTCGATCACATAACCTTCAGGATCACAAGCAATTTATTCGAGCTTGCGCTACGTGCAAGATATATGGTCGGAGTAGGCGAAGTGGATTAGAACAACTACTCCTCACTTGGCATACAATGTTGCTTTCTCAAACTGTTCTGCCTAGCTACGATTTCTAATCGGGCAAGACCAAACCCCAGCCCTAAACCCTAAACCCTAAACCAAACTGTGCAAACCAAACCCCAACATGACACCATGTAGAATAGGACTCTCAGTATCCGGCCCCTGACCAAGGTGGGCGCCCTAGTTTAAACAAAAAGCATCGCTCTCAACCCTAAACCCAAAATTGCTGGGCTCCTGGATTTCATTACAATACACCCAAAACCCTGTTCTATTCAAGGCCCCTCTACTTGGAGGTTCATGGATAGTTATAAGTCGGGTTATAAGTCCCCAAGCATGGGTCATAACCTGCCATACAGGCCATACATTTTTGATGACCGTAAACCCTTTTTGCATCCAGGCCTATTGCAACTAAACCCCTAAACCCTAAACCCTCAACCCTAAACCCTCAAGACCTCGGAAGCGTGGTCTGAGTTCGAGAATGCCTTGAGGTTGAGATTCGTATGCCCTTTGGCCTTAACTCCTAAACCGCGAAAGCTTGATTAAACCGGAACCCCTGCTTGGAGGTTCATGGGTAGTTATAAATGGGGTTATAAGCAGGGTAACTATACTTATGACCCATATTAGGGGACTTATAATCATACTTATAACTACCCATGAACCTCCAAGTAATGCCTAAACCTCGAAAGCTCAAGCCCTTGACTCCAGACCCTAAACCCTAATACCTTAATAACCTTCCTTTCGGGTTTAGGACAAACCACCACCGTCCTCGCAGTGTGGGAACGCATTCCAAGGCTGCCCATCCACGCCTAGGCCCAAAGTTACAGCTATATAATGTAGCGTCCTGGCTGGTCTAGAGCTAGGGGTTCAGGCTTTCAAACTCAGATGCACACACATAGGCAGGCACATAGACACCCATGCATATTGTATATATACATACGTACATACGTACATACATACATACATACATACATACATACCTACATCTATATATAGATATAGATACATACACACAAACGAAAACAAGAAAAGACACAGAAACTAGTTAAATAGATAAATAAACAAAACAAATAAGTTAATATATATATATATATGTATACAATATGTTATTTTGTTTGGTGCTGTATATGTGCATACAACTGTAAAGCGCTATAGCGTGAGTGGGTGGGTGAGCGAGTGAGTGACTGAGTGAGTGAGTGAGAAAATGGGTGGGTGAGTGAACCAATGGGCGAGTCATTCAACGAAATGAAAGAATGGATGAGTGGAAGAGTGGATGAATGGATGAATATATATATATATATATGTGCGTGTGTGTGTGATGTGTATGTGTATGTATACAAACATACACGCACTCGCGCGTGTGTGTGTGTGTGCCAATTGCTTGTGCTGCTCAACTTCTTGCTGCTCGGCATCCTGCTAGCCTGGCGACTTCGTAGGCTGTCATGAACCTGAACTACGACTTAGAACTGCAAATACGGCAACGATGGCAGCTATGACGACTAGCACGGCGACAAGGACGAGGATGACAACGACTACCACGAGCACTGCAATCACCACAAGCATGACGACAACTACGACCACCACCGCACTAGGCAAATGATTTTCTCCTACGTTGAATCATCCGGTGAAGTCATCGCGAACAAAATCCACTTGGGCCCTGCTTCCGACTCTTTCAGTAGCCCCGGCGTCGATCGAACACCTTTTGTTGGTAGCACACTGAAAAAGAAACTGTACTTTGCAAGCAATTGAAACTCAAACCCGTCACACTGGAGCAGCTTGGCAACTTTTCCGGTCTCATCGGTACTTTATTGTAGTGAGACGCATTCTCGTGCCCGCGGCACAGGTCAAAGATGTATAATACTATGTGAATCTTGTCCGATACTTGCAAAACCGGCGCTTTGCTGTGTCTATGCTTCTCGAGCTCAGAAGAGGATGCGCAAGTGCCTGTAGCTGCCACCTACCACTTACCACCACCCCTTGCCACCGCCCCAGCCACCATCCCCGAAGCCTTTGGTGGCACCAGAGCCCCAGCCTCCGCTAGCATCGCCCCATCCCTTGCCGGAGACAGGGCTTGAGGCACCCCAGCCCTTGCCGGCACCACCAGAGTCACCCCAGCCCTTGCCGGACGTGCCCCAGCCTTTGGCGCCAGAATCGCTCCACCCCTTGCCGCCACTGCTCCAACCCTTGGCAGCCACTGGAGCACCAACGCCTTTTCTTGGTCCAACAACTTTGGGACCACCGCTTCCGCCCCAATCCCCTCCGCCCCAGCCTCCTCCTCCTCCGCCCTTCTCGCCTCCACCCCAGCCTCCCTTGTCCCCTCCACCCCAATTTCCTCCGCCTTTGTCGCCTCCACCACAGCCTCCTTTGTCACCTCCGCCCCAGCCTCCGCCTTTGCCACCGCCACTCATGCTGGCCATCATCGCTGCCATCATTTCCATCATGGGTGGCATTCCCTTCATGCCACCCTTCATGCCCTTGCGCCGCGACCGCGGCGTGGCATACGCCACCGTGACTGGGCCTGCCATTCCCTGAGGAACATTGCCGTTGACGTTCTCCACGATCCATTTGGCATCCTCCAGGGAGTTCATGTCCACGAAAGCTGCGGCCGCTTGCTTGCCGGCGGCCACAGGCAAAACTTTCACCTCCTTTATGCTGCCATACTGGCTAAAGATCTTCTTGAGCAGATCGTCGGTGGCATCGGTGGGGAGACCAGACACGAAGAGCTCGTCACTGGGAGTCTGTGTCATTGGGCCACCCATCTCGGACAAGTGCTTTCCTAGTCGAACAAAGCTCTTGGTTGCCTGGCTCAGACCCTATGATTGAGAAGCTCTTTTCGAACCTGATGTAATGACATGCGCGAAAAGATGGACTCTGGGTCGGCTGTCATGCTGGCATATATTGTCAGGCACGTCTGTGCGCCCAACGCCTCTACAACCTGCAAGAAGCCAACGGCGCAAGCAAGGAATGCTCAGCGAATGCAAAGGCAAGATCTTGCTGTTCGACGAGGTGCAGGGCTGTGCTATCTCGCTTTCTCAGGCCACAGCAACCCAAGACCTCGAACCTCCTTTCTTGACCTGAGTCGGGCTTTTCCGGGCTGTCACACTGACAGGGTTTTGAGCACTCCACGGCGTTTGCCAGGAGCCGAAACACTCTTGAAAATAGACAGGACATCACGATGTAAATTTCTCCGGGGCCGGACCCGCCACTTGCTGTGTAGTCAAAGGGCCAAGGGTTGCGGGTTTTTATTCTATTAAAAGGATACTAACGCTTCAAACCCCTGCTGGGCAAGCGGTACAGTTAGCATTTGGGAAAGTCTGGGTCTTGAAACTGGCTTAGGGTGCAGATGCTAGAGCAATAACCATGCCTGGTGGGCTCTTCAAACACACCCCAGTGCATGGAACCGAAATAAGATCGGTCATGACTTCCCTTAACCCTAAACCCGACATTTACCTTCAACCCCAAACTTTAAAACCCTTGCGGGCAGGCTGCTGAGTCGTCCACACTCTCTCACAGCTTCAACCACGAGCCCGGTCCCAGGTGCTCCGCTAAAGCTCCGGCTTCAGTTTTGGATTCATAGATGCAACACGAAAGAAAAGAGTATAGAATTACTATGGAAGCCTCAAGAAATATGGGGGAGTTTGGGGGATATCGGAGCATCTGGCTAGAAAGGAAGCCTCAGGAATAGCAGAAGCTATATCAAGGCAGCTTACGGAAAAATACTAGCCAGAAAGAAATCTCAATGAATAGTACTACTTGTACTAAGGGGGCTTCAGGGGGCAGTATCAATCATATATATATATACACACAATTTTCATTTACTTTATATTACACATATAAAAAATGGATAACTTGGGGAACACTAAAGCATGGTATTGGGCAGTATTCAGGCCCAGAACTCTAGGTCCTTGGCCCCTGCCACAAGTTGCACCAACAAGCCCAAGACGAGCACACTTGCGGGTTCAGCGTTTAGGGATTTAGGGCTTAGGGCCGAAGTCTAGGGTCCAGGGCTGGGGGTTCGGGGCTTAGGGTGATCTGCTTCGTCTACAGTTCAGGGGTTAGGGCTGTTAGGGCTGTCTCCTGCATCCCGTTGACCCAAAACCCATGCAGAGCTGGGGCACTGTTCGCATGCATGGGCCAAAATCAGCCAACTGAGCTGATTGAAAGTTAAAAGTCACTTGGATCCAAACCCTCAGTCGCGAACCGAAGTTTGGCTGATAAGTCCATACTGCGCTCCGAAAGCAAAACATCCGTTTATGGCTGGTTAGATCATCCCGAACAGCTTTGTTTTTGAACCCAGGCTCTTTGCTAAACCCTA